AGGGAGGGAGGGAGGGAGGGAGGGAGGGATTACAGCACTTCCAAATCAAGGTGGAGGAAGGGAAGCAAAACTAGGCCTTGGTGCCTTGGTGCACTAATCATCTATCTTTCTAGTTCGTTCCTAGCAGTAAAAGAACATATTCCTACCAAGAAAAACCCTCTGACTGGGTATGAGGGTTACATCTTCAATCCTAGCACTTGGGAGGCAGAGGCTTGCCTGGTCTGCATAGTGAGTTGCAGGCTAGCCAGGGCTACATAGTGAGGCCTGTCTAAAAATTAAAAAAAGATAGGCCGGGCATGGTGGCACATGTCTTTAATCTCAGCACTTGGGAGACAGAGGCAGGCGGATCACTGTGAGTTCAAGGCCAGCCTGGTCTACAAAGTGAGTTCCAGGCCAGCTGGGGCCACAAGGAAACCCTGTCTCAAAAAAGACCCCCCCCCACAAAAAAGAATAAAAGGAAGAAAAGACAGAAAGAAAGAAAAAAAGAAAGAAAAAGACTTTATGCAGCTCCTAGGCATGAGCCACCACACTGGCTTTACCAGAAGTTAATTTTAAAAATTATTTAAATGGGTGGAGAAGAGCAACAAAAATGTCAGAGGCCCTGTCCTCTGTCATCTTCAACACTGCCTCATCAGCTAACCAGGCATGAAAGCCTGGAGAGTGCCCACAGGGGATACCCTGAGGCTTCTTGCTTGCTTTCACTATCCCTGATGTCCCCATCCTCCTGCCTCCTCCTTTTTCCTCCTCAGTTCTGCATCTCTCCTTTGTTTTTCACTTAGCTAGTTCACCATCTAAGGTCTACACAAGAAAGAAACCCCACCCCTGCCCTCCTACTGAAAGTTCTTGAGTCTTTAACTCCAAGAAAGGCACTGGAGTATTTTGTTTGTCCTTGATTCTATTGTTGACTACCAGTTCACTCATGGCCCTGTGCTCTGACCTGGCTAGTCTTGGAAAAGCCTACTTTGGACCTCTAACCTCTGTCTGCTGCTTTCTTACTTACCTCTTGCTGGAGAGTCTGTAGGCTGTTTGGGGAAAACTTCTCACAGAGGCAGTGAGTGCAGGGAGAGGAGCCAGCTGCTAGCACAACCACCCCAGGGCCTGTTCAGTTCTGGCATAAGCAGAGCTTGGGCTTCCAGAGTGGCATCTGTGCGTGTGTGCATGTGTGTGTGTGTGTGTGTGTGTGTGTGTTCCCACTCTACACCCACTCTCAGTAGCATCTGCTGGGGTCTGGCTAGGTTTTGCAGTTCTCTGGAATTGAAGGGCTCCCTCTCCAATCTGGATTACCCTTCTCTATCCAGAGACCAACCAGACTGTTTGAGCATTTGGTATCCATAGCAAGAGATGGTGGCTGGGGAGTGCCCAAAGCTGACCCTGGTGTATGTGGAATGTCAGGCGGGTGGGATACACACTTGTTTCTGCTGTTTCTAACCCAAGGCCATCACAGCACTGGAAGAGACAGAGTGTTCAGCTGACAGCTGGACCCAGCTGTAGTTGTGTAACTTGCTTACAAACTTTGGAATTGGTCTCTGACAATAGGAAGTGGAAACCCTGACATAGGGATGTTCCACAGGAGGTCAAGCTGCTGCTAGTGTACCTCGCACCCACCCTCAGCCAGATTCTTTGGGCCCCTTTAAACAGGTTACAGGACCATTTGGTGGGTTAAATGGAAAAGTGAGGAAAACCAGGTTAAAAACAGTGAAGGGGAGGGAGGAAGATGATGAAGCCAATCCCAAGAGTAATTTAACATGAAAGGACAAAGGACTTGTGCCTGGTGGTTCAGGCTTGCAGTCCCCTATGAGGTTTAGAAGTTCAAGGTCTCAAAGTGAAGGGTAAGTAGAGGGGGTCTGAGAAGATGGTCCAGTGGTAAAGTGCTTGCTCTGTAAGCATGAGGATCTGAGTTTGATCCCTTGCACCCATGTAAAAAGCTGGGTGTGGCACCTATAATGCCAGCCTTGGGGAGTCAGAGACAGGAAGATCCCTGGGGCTTGCTGGCTAGTCAGCTTAGCTCCAGGTTCAATAAGCGTGCTGGTTAGTTTTTATTGTCAACCTGACACAACTTAGAGTCATCTGGGAAGAGGGAACTTCAATTGACTAATTTCCCAAATCAGATTGGCCTGTGGTCATGTCTGTGAGAGATTGATTTGACTGATAATCGGTGTAGGAGGACCCAGCCAACAGGGGGCAGAGCTAATCCTAGGTAGGTGGACCTAGGCTGTATAAGAAAGCCAGCTGATGGGACTGGAGAGATGACTCAACTGGCTGCTCTTGCAGAGGACCAGGATTCGATTCCCAGCACCCAACATGGTGGCTAACACCATCTGTAACACCAGTTCCAGGGGATCTGATGCCCTCTTCTGAGCTCCAGGGGCATTATACAGCACAGGTGCAGGCATAACACTTATAGATATAAAATAAAATAAATAATTTTTTTTTTTTTTAAAAAGAAAACCAGCTGAGGAGAGATGGCTCAGTGGTTCAGAGCACTGGCTACTCTTGCAGAGAGGGCCTGGGTTAGGTTGCCACCACCTACATGGCAACTAGCCACCTGCCCTAACTCTGGTACCAGGAGTTCAGACGCTCACTTCTGGCCTCTGTGAACATTGCACTCATGGGTGCATGAGGCAAAACACTCATACACATAAAATAAAAATAAATAAAAATTAGAGGGCTGGAGAGATGGCTCAGCAGTTAAGAACACTGACTGTTCTTGCGGAAGACTGCGGTTCGAATCCCAGCACCCACATAGCAGCTAACAACTGTCTGTGACTCCAGTTTCAGGGGATCCAACAGTTTCTTCTGTCTTCTTTGGGCATTGCACAACATGGGTGCACTTACATGTAGGCATAATACTCATACACATAAAAACTATAAATATATATATATATAAATAAATAAATAAATAAATAAAAATTAGAAGAAAAAAAGAAAACTGAGTGAACTGAAAAGAAAGCTAATAAGCAGTGCTTCTGCTCGAGTTTGCGCTGACTTCCCTCAGTGATGGACTTTGACCTGGAAGTAAACCCTTTCCTCCCCAAGTTACTTTTGGTCATTTTTTTTAAGGACATTTTTTTTTTTTTTTTTTTTTTTTTGAGACAGGGTCTCCCTATAGCCCCGACTGTCCTGTAACTCACTATGTAGACCAGGCTGTCCTTGAACTCAGAGATCTGCCTGCCTTTGCCTCCTAAGTGTTGGGATTAAAGGCATGGGCCACTATGCCCTGCTTAAGGATTTATTATTATTATTATTATTATTATTATTATTTTATTTATTTTTTTTTGGTGTTTTTGAGACAGGGTCTTCCTGTAGCCCCAGATGGCCTAGAACTCACTATGTAGACCAGGCTGGCCTCAAACTTACAGAGATCTGCCTGCCGATGCCTCCTGAGTGCTGGGATTAAAGCTGTGCACAACCATGCCCAGGTATTTTTGTTAATGTGTGTGTGTGTGTGTGTGTGTGTGTGTCTGTACATGTGACTGCAGGTGCCTGTGGAGTCCAGAAGAGGGTGTCAAATCCCCTGGAGCAGGAGTTACAGGTGGTTATAGCTACCTGATATGGGTGCTGGGAATCTAATTCAGGCTCTCTGGAAAAC